TATATTACGGCATCTAACATTTAGGAACTTATGAGTACCAAAATGAGACAGACTTTTGAGAACTACCCGCATGTTTCTAGCTTGCTTCGGATGCGCGTCATGGTTGACTTTCGCCTGAGGCCTGAAGAGCAAGCGTGTCTGGGTTTTGGTGAGGGCCCGACCTATCTCGGACGGCATCAGCTGCATTGTCATAGACACTTGGCAGGACTTCAGCTTACCCAGGATCTGTGATTCTTCGATGTTTGTGATTCCCGTGATTGTTTCAGAAGCCCGTCGGTAGTCGTAAGTTGCCCGTCCTTCCATGAGCATGAGGATGAAGGCACCCTGCCTGCCTCTGAAAACCTGAAACCCTAAAGAGTAGTTNNTTATCCCTATATAACCCCAACGCATTATTTCTTATACCATTGTACAGCCTTACCCATCTGAGATCTGCAAGCCGAGGATAGAAACAAGGTCAGCGTCAGCAACACCAACGGCGCACCCACATCTTTCTTCTTCGACCAGGCATTAAAGGGTTAAGGATGGCTTTTGAAGTCAAGTTTCGCGGGGTTTCGGGCTTGAGGTTTAGTGAATTGTTCGCGACCTCTTATCATGATATAGCAAGGATTCCCCGACGAGAGCTTCTGATTGTCTAAAGTAGTAAGAGCCCTTAATCCTGGGATCCTTGTATNNGTATGTACCCTTAAGGGTCCCTACATGTCCCTACCATATTTCTAAACTTGGAGTTTGGGAATTGCTCAGGCGAACTGCAACCACTCTGTATCTGGTTGAGAGACGCTGTACCGTTCATGGTTGCTCCAACAACTGTGCGGCTCCGCCAGTGGACCAGCAATTTGCTATTTATTAGATGTGGGAGATGTGGGACAAGTACACTTACCCCATCAAAGATAAAAGGAATGAATATAATTATCAGATTAGATTTTTCTAGAAAATTCCGCCAGGTCTCATTCACGTCACTGCAAACAGCATTTTTATGGTTCGCACCGTCAATGAGGTTTTGGGCACTCCTGCAGCTGCTTTCCACAAAGGCATCAAACTGCGGTAGCTATACAGTGTCTATACAGTAGCATTATAATTTCTATTATTACTAGTGCTGCAATGATTGCTATTATTTAAGGGCTGCCGCCGCT